ATTTTCTAATATGTTGTATCCGTGTTTCCTTGTGTAAAAGTGTTAATTGTGTCCAACCTTGTTGCCTCAGCTGCTTTGTGTTTGTGTGTGTGTGTGTGTGTGTGTGTGTGCTTACTGTCCGGAAAGCAGTTGTCGGGGTCCATGGCCTCCTCAGCCATCTCTGAGTACTCATCCTCTTCATCTCCAGGCTTCCTGAGGTCCACCGTGCTGCCCTCTGATAGACTGATGTCATCTTTCTGCTGAATAATACAACAAGAAACAACCAATCAGATCAGTTCGCAGGTGCATCTCCATGCAGCGCATTAAAAACAAAAGAATTTTAGAATCAATTCTGTACTTCACTGGTAACCACTACTGAGAGGCCAGTACTGGGGTGATATGGCCTCTCTTCCTGGTACCAGTGAGGATTCTTGCTACTGCATTTTGAACAAGCAGCAGGCGGGATAGGGCTTACTGACTGACTCCTACGTGGAAGGAATTACAATAGTCTGTGTAAGAGGAAATAAAAGTGTGCGCTAAAATCTCTAAATCTTTGACGGGCATGTCACGATCCTGAGGGTTTTTTTAATATAATGTTATCTTGTGGACTTTGTTTTTGGGGTTTTCTGTTTGTGTTCTTTCTTGTTTTGTTATTCAATCATGTTTAATCTGTTTCCTGTTTTATTTTGTAGATTCTCTCCTCATGTGTTGTGTCTGGTTTTCCTTCCTGTCTTTGTGTTTTCCTGCTGTTTTCTGTCACACCTGTCTTGTTAGTCCTTTCCTGTTCCCAGTCTTTCTTTCATGCCTGTTCTTTATTAGTCTTGTTTGCTCCAATCTAGTGTCCCCCTCCACACCCTTGTTGTTAGCCAATCCCCATTTCCCTCCTTTTGCCCATGTCCACCTACTTCAGCTGTGTCTTGTTCTTGTGATTAGTTTTCTGTGTTTTCTGTGTTTCCTTTTGTTCCTTGTCAGTTCATCTGTGTTCTTGGTGTCATTTCCTGCTCCGTTTCCTGCCTGGTGTCTTGAGTTCGGTTTGGATTTTTTTTTTACCTGAGTTCATCCCATTTTCATGGTTGGTTTTCAGTTTAATTTTGGTGCTTCTTTCATTTTTGACTTTAAGCTACCTGCCTGCTCCGGATGTTTTTTATCAGCTGCATTAAAGCTTGCTTTTTGCTAAACCTTCAGCCTGACAGAGCAAGAAATGTTTTAATTTTGCAAGTGACCAAAGATGATAAAAGCCAGAGTTACCAACAGAGTAGTCTCGCCACCAGACAATCAGAGATCTCCGCCTTCTGATACACTCGGACACTCCTTTGTAAAGTGTGTTTAACACACCGGAGAAAATGGCCAGTAACAAAGCAAAGGAGACGCCCTCACGGAAATGTGTGCTCCCCCTTTTCTCGTCCGAAAGGAAACAAACACACAGAGAGCTTGAAAATGGATGCCGAGAGATTTAACTCCGTTTTATCAAATGTGTGCTCAGTCCACAAGATTGTGGAAATGAAGGACTTACAGCGACTTTGTTTAAAACTTTTAACGCAGTCGGACTATGTTTACGAGCACAAGCGTTCAGCGAGCTACTGAAGGACCACCCTGCAGATTTACTATTGGTTCTGCAACGTAGGGAGTTTTTTTAAACTCTGAAATTGTATCCGCCCATCTAAACACAAAATCAGGGAGAAAGTCATCAGTCTTTAGTTAAGCAAAGCGTCTAAAGACTGATTTGTGACTCTACCAACAGAGTTGATTTATCTATCAGATTTTAAACCAGAATCGAAGAAAACACCCAGATTTTTTGCATGTGATTTTATGTTTAATAAAAATGTTACAAGCATACAGTGACTAAGCAACAAAACTGTACACAGAGTGTGCAGAGCTAATAATAAAAAAATAAGATAAGAATATGTGCTAATTTTTAAACAATTAAACAATAAAATAATATATGACATCGTAATAAAATGTACAAATTGAAATTCTGGGCCAATACTGATACCAATGTTTGAAATAACAATTTCGCCAATAGCCAATACTGATTTTTTTGTTTGTTTGTTTGTTTGTTGTTATTTATTCTTCTTTTGTGCCAGGGAAACACAGAAATCTACACTATGAAAAATAAATGTACAGTTTTAAAATTATTCAGTCCTTCATTACATTACCTTTAAATGAGCACAAATTCAATAATACACATCTATGAAACAACCTTTAATATAACCTTCTTTCAAATAAAAATCATCTTTAAAAAAAACAAGCAAAAAGCCTTTTTATAGTGCTGTGAAAACATCAACACATTCCTTCCTTAAATAGCTGTTTTTATTCAACTTTCTCGCTAAAAGCTACATTTTACAAGATTACATGGAACACATCATGAGAACACTATAATTTTCATTTGCCCAATACTCATTTTCACTGAATAGAGCTTTAACGCTCCCCAAGTTGTGGCACCCCCTATGGATGACAGCGTCCTTACCATTCTCCTATACTGCCTGTGCCACAGGCCGGCGCTGCACATGTTGAAATCAGTTGAGATCAAAATGAAGGTTTAGTTCAGAGATGGGCGTGGTCTGAACAGCTGGGCCGGATGTAGGGAGGTAGGAAGTAGGGAAGGGGCCACTGCAACCCACCTCCCACTTTATGCCCCTGGCTCACATTCTTTTTAAGTCATTAATCGCTGTGCCTCTGCTGGAGTGATCCCATCACAAGATAGTCCATCACAAGTCTTGACTTTTAAACTTTGTAATGGTCAGACCTCTCAGTGATTGAATTTTTTCTTTAATAGTATATATATATATATATATTCCCATCACAAGATAGTCCATCACAAGTCTTGACTTTTAAACTTTGTAATGGTCAGACCTCTCAGTGATTGAATTTTTTCTTTAATAGTATATATATATATATATATATTATTATTATTATATTATTTACATTTAATAATTTCACAGCAGTCGTAGTGGGGAGCCATTTTTTTCCAAAGATGGCTAGAGCTCTCTTAATTAGTTTTACTTTTCTTTTTTAGTTTAGAGTTGACATGTTATGGTTGAAACACAACCGGTAGCGATATTATTTAATGAATTTATTCAAAAATAGAAAACTTACCCGTACTTCAGCAGTATTCATATTCATAAAGCAGATTTATATACAGTATAACCTCTAAATTGAGTGTACTTCCCCTGCTCTTTCTGGACTATTTCCCTCGCTACCTGCCTTTGGATTTTTTTTTTTTTTTTTTTTTTTTTGCTGTTGTTGCTCTTCGTAATGCGTCTTTGAGTATCCTGAAAGTGCTATATAATTCCAATGTATTATTATCATTATTATTATTATTTAGCTAACTCCTTTTTTACCTGATTAAATGATGTTTTTGTAGAAAACAGACAGAGTTTACAAAAATGTGGGACACATATTTAAAGGGCTAACATTTTCACAAAAAAATATATTTACAACAAAGATGATTATAGCAGTACATTTTGACAATGGTGCTATCAGTACACACTGTTAGTTTTAAATTTTGGAGGCTTTTATCACATTTTTTAATAGTTTGAAGTTGTGAATTCTTGTCTGTGACAAGGCTGTTTCCTGACACAGGTTAAGAAATTCAAAAAATAAAAGCAGATCAAATTATTTTATAAATCATACTTATTTCACATATATACTTATATGTATATATGAATTCTAGTAATTAAAGAAGTAGAATTAGCGTGTTTTTACATTATAATCTTAAGGACATGATTCCTCCCAACTGTCAAGAATGGGTAATTATAATTTTTATGACATATATTTTTAGTAATAATCTAATCTGCAATGTATAGTGATTACTGTTATGTGTGGTAAAAAGTATAATATTGCCTTATATATTGCAGCAGAGTATGAGTGTAATGTTGCATAAAATAGAATTTTACCTTTATTCCACCACAGTTTTTGGACAACAGTGGAGCTTTATGGCACTAAGTAATGAGATATATCAGACTTTAGATACACAATCAACACTTGTTAGTAGGATCAGGTCAATGGAAGATTGGGTTTTATTAGTGCTTGTGTTAGCTGTATAGTATCAGCATGTTGTTCTGAGTGTTATTTGAGTAAAGTATGGTGCGTGGTTGTGTGACCATCAGCATCATTTTCCTGCAGTCGGAGCTGAATGAGTCAGATTTAATGTTACATCAATGACAGGAATCCTGGCTGAGAAAACAGAGAGGCATCAACTTCCAAACGCTCCCTCCCTCCCACTGCCAGGAAAACTGCCGTCTGTTCACTTTGACTCTGAGATCTGGACAAAACTAGACGTCAGGAAATCCCCCCTCATCCCCCCCACCCCCCACCCCCTCTATCTCAGCTGACTTCAAAGCTCTGTGTTTGCTGAGCATCATGGGAGTTTAACTTTACAAAGGGACAAGGGAGATGGAGGGATAGGAGACAGGTTTTCTGCTGAGGGCTGAGGATGGAAATTTGGCAGGTTTTATTGAATGTCTGGACAAAGACACAGCAGGGGTGTGTGTGTGTGTGTGTGTGTGTGTGTGTGTGTGTGTGTGTGTGCGTGCTGTACATGTGCTTGTGTGTGTGGACAGGTGAACTAACTACCTGAGTCAACAGCTAACTCATGAATGCATTCAGAGTCTGGGAACAGAGAGCAGCCGCTGTGACGAATGCCAGCCTTGGACACACACACACACACACACACACACACACAAAGGTGAAGCCAAACGGACTGAACACACACCTAATCTCTGACAGACACTTACAGGTGAAAAGATCTGCACACAGAAACTGGATAATGTAACACACACACGCGCAGCAGCCTTGGGCCGGAACCCAGACAGTTGACGTCCATAATGAGGGGTTTAAATGTATTTCTATTCACAAGCTGTTTCTATTGTGCAGACACAGAGGAGCTGAAGGCAGTGAAACACATTCAGGGCCTGTTAAATAATGAATCACATGCAATCAGATTACTTTAATCACAGTAAAAGAATGAGATTTCAGGATGGTTATCCCAACTTGGGTCAAATTCCCCTAGAATTCAACCATTAAAACTGTACTCACAGAGTTAATGGTTGAATTATAGGGGAATGGAGACATTGCTACAAATCCATTTCATTTGGAGGTCAAACCGACAGTGAGCGCTCCCAAAATGCCCAGATCATCCTCCCAAAAAACAGCTGTCTGTGCAAGTGTCTTATATTGTGCTGCAAGAATGAGTCCTAAAACCTGGAAATGACTTAGCATTTTAGCATTCCTGATTCCTTCATCTCAAAGATGCCTGAAA